GGGGGGGGGGGGGGGGGGGGGGGGTTTCCTGTTCCGGCATGAATGTCCCTGTGCACAAAGCCAGCTTTGTGAGTTTGATGTGTTTGGTGTGGAGGAACTTGAGAGGTCCTCCTGACCTCAACCCTAGTGAACACCTTTGAGCTGAAGTAAAACATTGATTACGAGCCAGGTCTTCCCATCCAACATCAGTACCTGACCTTAAACCTATTGAACATCTTTGGGATGAATAGGAACCTTGATGATGAGCCAGGTCTTCTCATCAACCATCAGTACCTGGCCTTAAACCTATTAAACACCTTTGGGATGAATTGGAACCTTGATGATGAGCCAGGTCTTCTCATCAACCATCAGTAACTGACCTTTAACCTATTAAACACCTTTGGGGTGAATTAGAACCTTGATGATGAGCCAGGTCTTCTCATCAACCATCAGTAACTGACCTTTAACCTATTAAACACCTTTGGGGTGAATTAGAACCTTGATGATGAGCCAGGTCTTCTCATCAACCATCAGTACCTGACCTTAAACCTATTAGAAACCTTTGAGATTAATAGGAACCTTGATGATGAGCGAGGTCTTCTTATCAACCATCAGTAACTGGCCTTAAACCTATTAAACACCTTTGGGATGAATTGGAACCTTGATGATGAGCCAGGTCTTCTTGTCCAACATGACTACCTGACCTGACAAACGCTCTTTTTGCTAAAATGGTAGACATCCCCAAAAACACCCTCCAAGATCTTGTGGAAAGCCTTCCCTGTAGACTAAAGTCTGGTATAGCTGCAAAGGAGGGGTAACTCCATATTAATGGCCATCATTTTAGAATGGAATGGCCTACAAGCTCATACCAGTTTCATGGTCCAGGTGTCCACAAACTTTTGGCCTTACCATGCATTTAAGAAACATTGGTAAGATGTGACTGTAGTACATGACTGACCAAACTTTGGGGAAACACTGGCCTACTGAACCTAGTCCCGACCCACCCTAAGAAACTACTATGAGCAGGCCTTTTCCCTTCTAGCTCTGTGTCACCAAGCTGAAAGGCCCATATATAGGATTTGTATTTGTGCTTTCTCTGTAATTCTTTTTAGGGTATCTTTCTTTGGAATGTAAAAACACATTGGTTTTAAAATTCCCAACGGATCTGTCCGATTGCAGGACGCTGTAAGAGTGCGTTTGCATTTTTCTTTTCCTTGCCTATCTGAAATCGGGATTTCTTTTTCACTTGACATCAGGTGTCCTAAGCAATATTGGCCTTTTGTTTCTCTTCAATAAATAAAACAAAAAAATCGATCGGGAGCAGCTCGAGAAATAAATACGGGGGCTATTTTATATATTGCGGCAAATATCTGCTTTCTTTTGAAGCAGCTGCTGTAGAGTTTTTCTTTCTTTGGGTCTCGCAGCCAGTTTCTAATCAGTATATTGGTTGTTCAGATCGAAGATTCTGCTGTATAGTTAAGCTTTTGATATCTGATAACACATTTTCGTAGGTGGTCACTGTTGTAATGCTTGCCTAAGAAGCTCATTCGCACGTTACCATTGACGCACTTGTATTTATGCGTTTTCGGGCTTGCGGTGCCATCTTTTACCGCTACGATGTCACCGTTGGAGTGGTCCTGAAGCTTGCTTGTATTGCCACCAGCAGCCAATGAGAGTCTACTTTCTACCTATACAACTTGCATACCGTGTGACACTCACAGGCCGTTTTAATAAGTAGCTATGACGCGTCAGGGGGTGTAACCCAGTTCAACCAATCGGCTTTCGGTCTACTCAGGTCAGGTTGGTTAAACCTTCTACTTAGTGGCTGAGGAAAGCATTCAAAAAAGGACATGCCATGAAAGAAATATACAAGCCATCATTGCGTCCTCTCCTTCACTCCTTGTGACTGGCTGTCACGCTGACCATGTTGCTTCAATATTTTGGGTCTGACAGGGGTTGGCAACTCCAGCCTTCCAGCTGTTGCGAAACTACAAGTCCCATGAGGCATTGCAAGATGCATGATGGGATTTGCCGCTTTATCACACTTGGAGGGCCCCAGAGTTTGCCCACCTCTGGTCTGTGACCTAGAACAAGTACAGTGGTACCTCGGTTCATGAACGCTTCTGTCTGCAAACAATTCGAAACAGGAAGTTCTGCAAAATTTAGCTTCCCTTTGCGAACTCCGCATTGGGTGACGAACACAACCGCAGCCATCTTCCCTGCACTGACACATGGTCGTGGCTTCCTCTAGTCGAGATCGCGGTCTGATCACCGTTTGATTCGGTTCGCGACCAGAATCGTGGAACGAATTAAGTTCGTGAACCGAGGTACCACTGTAAACAGATGACCTCTGACCTTACTTATGCTTTCCCGATTCTTCTGCTTATACTGGGTCAGTCTTGAAGGCATTGGGTCAACGTGACAGCCACTAGCATTGTTGGAAAGAGATCAGCACTTGTAGCTTTTTATATGTGTCAGGCTCGCTTTTAAGGGAAACTGTAGTGTTTTTGCAGGTTTTACACATAAATATGGAAATGATCCCTGAAGTCGTCACTTGTATGTCAGGTATTGTGATTTAGTAATCCTGCACTAGTTGTCAGAGTCAAGCTTGGCTTATAGACTTGCATTGAGAGATGACTTGCATTGAGAGATGCATTAAAGCTCCATCACAGTGCAGCACTACTAAGCAGGAAGCAGAGCCTGCATATGCAATGAACAGATATGGCTGCCCCATGTACTAATAGAATTAGGAACTCTTAAAAATTAAACCAGTAACACTAATTGATCAGGTTATTAGGGCCTGTGGTGATGGGGCTGCAAATGCAGCATGCTTTTGACATCATGCTTCTAAACCCATTCAGAATTAATTAGGGCTGTGGAAATGAAAGATGAATTTCTCGATGAATCGTTAAACTTTTTGATCGATTAAAATTATTTTGATCGCTAATGAAAACACTCACCTCTCCGCCGGCTTCCGGGAGTCCGGTCGGCGATCCGGTGACATCACTCCTCCCCCTTTCCCCAAGTGGCTCCGTCGGCTAACGAAGGGAAGGGGAGTCCACGTGCTGGATTAGTGTGATCCTTGTTCATTTTATTACTTCATTGCTGTGCTGTATGTGTATAGGCCAATGTCGTTGGATCTGTATGTGCGTTATAATTAGTCGAGATTAATCGATTTAAAAAAATTTTTTTTATCATTACCGGCCCTAGAATTAATTGATGATGATTTATCTGCTGTCATTCTTCTATTTTTCTATGTTTGTATTAAACTATTTACATGGTCCCAAGAAGAAGTAAAAGCTTTAAAACAAGCCACCCCTGACCTCTCTAGCTGCTCGTAAAGTCATTCATTCTCAAAGATCACAACAAAGACTCTAATTGGCTTTCAGTTGGGTTCTAGCAGTTTAGAAAACACCTGATGTGTGTTTTACCTTCGGAGATCCGGCAAGATGTGATCTCATAGAAAACCACAGTGCTGGAGTTCGAAAATGATAGATACAGAGATGAATTGGGGATTGGTTTAAAGTGATTCTACTACTTGTTCATAATATGTACATAGTTTACTGTGCATGATCTA